GTCTCTTTTGCGTCTATACACTTATGTTAACATTCTCACTATTATGTTCTTCACCACTTTGCAGCATAGAAAATATATATATCTCTCTCTCTTTCTCTTATTTTTTTTCTCTATCTATCTATATATATATATATATATTAACTAATTTCGCATACCACATTTAAAATTGTGAGCTAAGATGAGTGGGTTATTAACTCAACCCTTCAACTCCCCATGGGTTTTTAATTCAATAATAAAATAGGTCCAACCCCCTCCCAACTTGTTTTTATGCAAGTTGGGTTAGCTCGTTTGACACTCCACTAACTTATATATAACATATGTTTAAATAAAATTCTTCATAAACACTTTTAAGAAAAGTAAATGAGAAGAAAAAAAGAAATAAGCTTGTCAATAAATTAATAGAAATTCTCTTATATTAGCATTTAAAAAAATTAACCTATTTATAAATTAATTTTAAGTTATAGAAAAACTTACTTTATTTTTTCTTCATATTCTCTTTTCTCATAATTGCTTATGAAAAAAAATTATCAATAGTTACGTAGTATTTGTAATTGAATGCCATTGTAAGTGTATATTTTATTTTCTCTTAAAATGTATGATTCTCTCTAACAGAATGTGTTAACAAGTTTTTTAAAAAACACTTTTTTATTGGTTTAAAGTTATAAAAAATTAAATATACTTTTAATAAGATGGGAAACCAGTATAATTTTGTAATTCCAAAATATTTTCACTAAAAAGAAAGAATTTTCAAAAGAGTACCAAAAAAATATATTGTTACCATTTTTGTCGTCCCATAGATAAATTAGTGTTCACCAAAACTTCACAAGGAGTCAAGGAGAATGGTTTCATTCTTATCACAAGATGTAATTGTTCTAGTAACTATAGCTGAAGTGATTCGGTGGTGGAAGTTTTAGCAGATTTGGTGTCTTGTGTGTTTCTTTTACGTCACTTTCAACTAGGTTTAGGCCGATTAGTTGAACTTTTGTAAAAACTCAAGTAACAAAGATAGATTCGTGATTATTATTTTACCAATCAAAAAATATTTATGATTATTTTGAGAAAATGTTTTAAGCAGCTTTTGAAATAAAAAAAACTGTAACTGTGACTATTTTAAAAAAAAACATTTTTTATAATAATTATTAGGTTAAATTACTCTTTTGTCTCTCAATTTATTCAATTTGATCTCTATAATATTAAAAGTTCTAATTTAATCTCTTAGTTTTTTAAAATGATGTAATGTGATTATTTTCATTCAATTGAGACTTGCGGTATTAACATCTAAACATGTGACATAATAAAAAGAATTACATGTATCGTTATATATCTATATGAAAATTTAACATTGTTAGTCGCATCTGAATGAAAAATACTACATCGCATTTTTTTATAGAAAAATTAAGGGATCAAATTAGACATCTTAAGGAATCAAGTTGAATAAATCATATAAAATGAGAGATTAAAAAAGTAATTTGACTTAATTATAACTAACAAATGAAATAATATAAATTTTTACTTCCTTAATTTTTTTCAAAAATAAAATAAATAATCCCATTATTTGAATAATCTAAAAGAGCAATTTTTTCTATGCTTTAAAATCATGGTTCCTGAAAATCATAAATCATAATTCTTAAAAATGATTAAATCTATTTGATTGTTTATAAATTTTTTTTTGATATTTATAAATATTATTTAAGAATAAAATATTTTTTATTATATTAATTAACTACATAAATTGAGATAATGCAATAATTTTATTACAATAAACAATTCATTTTAATACAAGAATATTGGATTCCCACCAACTCCTATAAAAACAATTTGAAGAAAAACCCTCATTAAAAAAATTCTCATGAAATCGTATTTTCTAGAATTATTATTCTTTACAAGATAAATCAATAACATGGATAATAAATATTTTTAACTTTAAATTCTTAAAAAAGTAAAAATATTTAGCATATCAATCATCTGTAAATTCGGTGGGAAGAGCAGTATATACACTAGATAAAGTTGTTGTTGAATAATTTTACTTTTTTCTTTACTAGGTTATCCACTTTTGAGGACCAGTTTCTTCTCTTAAATGGTCCAAATAGATATGTACCATAAACTATTAATGGACGAGTAAATGATCTTTGATTTTTTTTTTTTTTATAAATGATCTATGATCTTTAAAATTGGAATATCACGTAAGTTCTCAAAACTAAAAAAAAATCAAATAAATATTTAAATCTTAAATAAAAAATCATACAACTTCAAAATTTAAAACAAATATATGTAATAATTAAAATAATAATATTGATATATAATTAAAAACTAAAATAATGATAAAATAATTAAATTTAAAATTTATTTAACATTTTAGAGAGTTTAGATATTCTTCTAATTTTATGAATAAGTTGATAGCACTTACATTTTTTAGAGTCAAAGTTACAGTTACTTTTAATAAACTTATTGTAACGGCTGTAGTTTGGTGAAACAGTAGAAAGTCGGCACCGTAAAGGCAAACTTCTTTTAAGAAGTAAAAAGCAACAACTT